AGAGCATTACGGCCAGTGGTATGTAAAAGGAACCCAACGTTGCATAAATTTGATATGCAAAATTCTGACACACCGAACACATGGGATTACCGTGTTCGTCTTCGTGTTCATTGCCCAGTATGAGCAGCGGTGGCAATGAGATGCAGGCGGCAGCCAACCACACCAGCGCCACACACAACATCATGCGGCGCGGTGTCCGTTTAACCCCATACTCCAGGGGCTTTGTAATGGCCAAATAGCGATCCACCGAAATGGCACACAAATTGAGGATGGATGCCGTGCAGCAGAGGACATCGAATGATACCCAAATATCGCATAAGACCGGCCCGAAACTCCACTTTTCCAAAATCTCATAGAGCAAGGCCATGGGCATAACGAGCACGGCCACACAGAGATCAGAGAGAGCCAGCGAGACCAATAAATAATTACAAGGACGTCGTAGTTTGCGGACCATGCACACGGCAATACAGACGAGGACATTGCCAACAATTGTGCCGAGGATGACGAAGAGGAGTATTATGCTAACCAGCACCGTGTGGAAAGCAGGTGTTGTAAATCCAACAAGGGTGGTGGGCAATGACGACGAGGAGGGCAGGGATGTTGAGTCTGAATCGAATTCCACGGCAATGGCGGCGGCAGATGATGAAAAGGACAATGAGGCTGATGACTGGGTAGGTGATGACAACAATGGAGGCCATTGTGTGTCATTTGTTGTTGTTGCTGCCACTGCCAATGTAGATAAAGTAGAGGTAATGGTGCTATGGGTAGACACTGGGCTGTTGTCCGATGTGGTAAACATGTTGCTAATACTGTGTTGGTTTCTATGATGATTTTTGTTGTTGGTGGAGTGTTGTGAAGTCGATGAGGAGGAGGCGGAGACAGACATGCCATCATTAGTTTTTGTGCTTGCTGCTGCTCCTGTGGCATGTAAAGTACTGCTATTGTGTCCCAGCCCCTCCGAATCCCTATTGTGACCATTGGATTCCGGGGCAGCTGCCGCCACCTCAAATATCAACGCTTGTATGGGCAGCTGTAATACCGTTGATGTACGATTGCCAAAATTACTTTGGCCGTTTGTTTCGGCTTCGGCCAAAATCAAAGAGGCCGAACCCACTTGAAACCAGCAATCACTTAGGCTTAGCAGAAACAGCAGATAGAATAATGTTCTCAGCAGTGACAACATAAAATGTTTCAACTTTTGTGATATCCGTTTCCAAGGGCAGGATTTCCGGCGATGATAGCGTTGAAATTTAAAATTATCATTGACCAGGGATGGGGAGGATGATGATGAAGAGCAGGAGGAGGAGGATGCGGATGGTTGTGCATTTTTAGTTGTTGAGCTGGAGCGGTATGAAGTGGCGGAGGCCGATGACGATAGTTCACACATAGAAACTGTAGTATAGTGGTGGTGGTTGTTGTTTTTGTTACTATTGTTTTTATTATAGAGAGCATTTTTGTTGTTGTTATTATTATTGTTGCTGGCATAGAACCAACTAGGAGCATTTATAGGAATTCTGAAATTGTTAATAAAATATTCAGCGTTTTTAGAGTCTAAAGGATCCATATGATATATCTATGTATTTGTTGTTGTTGTTGATTTGACTTAACTATGTTTTTTTATTAAAAAGAGGAGTTTTGTATTCTCTCTTTCTTCCACGGAGGTTTCTCTTAAGAGTGCTTCTAACAAACAAACATATATTTCGTTTATTGTTGATATTTCTTTGGTTAATTGCTTTGTTTTCGGTGAGAGAGAGACTTAAATTACATATCCATTGTCTATAACTGTACTCTCTTTGCATCAAACATCAGCCATTCTCTTATCAAAATGTCTTTGGTCCTCTAACAGTTCTCTTGGCAGCAGATGTCTTCGATATCTTTTGTGAGTATCTTTTTGATAAATAATTACAATTTCTTTGCCAAATGCTGTGTGTAAATCCATTTATTTTCGTGTTTTAAAGATTTAAATCCAGACAACTGTTCTCCTTTTGTAATGTAATGGTAACTCACTCTCTCTCTATCGCTATTTTCCGAAACCAACAGAGTTCTTTGTATTAGTATAACCTTTTATTTTTTACACGTCAACATGTTCTTTGGTTCTTTCTTGATTGACGCTTGTTTCTTCTTTCTTTCTTTGTTATCTTCACTCTCTTGTTTCCCCTCTCTTTCTTCTGCACAGAGGTTTAATTGTCATTTATCATAATTCTACTCTTTATGTTTCACTATTCATGTTCTCATGTGACATGTCTGTCATTCACTTGTTTGTTGGTTGTTCTTCGTTCGCTTGTTTGTTACTTCGTTCATTCATTCAATCGGTCGGTCGGTTGGTCGTTCGTTTATGTTTTGTTTTGGTCCATTCACTTGTTTTCTTCCAATAGCAGCATCAACATGACATGTCCTTTCATGCAGAGATGGCTCTTCCATTTATCAGTGTCGTTCGTTCGTCGTGGTCGTTGTACTGTCTTCTATGCCTTCTATGTGTGTATTTGTAACAGCAGCGGTAGCCTGTTATTGTGTCGCTTGTTTGTTGTTATTGTTCATGTATTCTCTTTCCTTTATTGGGCCAACTAACCAGCAATGTAATTTGTTTTGTAAGAATGAGGGGTGTTTTCTTAAGGTTGTATGTAGTTTTACTTGTTTGTCGTTTTTACGAAAAAAATATTATTTTTTTACGATATTGAAGAGAGTATATTTCAGGTGTATTTTGTTTCGTATTGAATGAAAATCTTGTTCCTTTTGTTGCTTGAAACCGTTTGATGGAAACACTAGAGTGATTGTCCAAATTCTGTAAAGAAATAAAGGAGAGGAGAAAAAATATTATATTTATTATTTTCAGTAAAAGAAAGTATTTTTTTAAATTTAAGAAAACAATTTTTAATTAATTGAAAATATTAAAAACCAGTGAGCGGAGCAGTATAGTCGGGCGGGGCCGACCATGCGATACCCTACACAACTACCACGAACTCTAACTTTCTGAGGATGTTTATTCCGAGTCTGAGTAATATTTCGTGATATTTGCCCCCTCTTGTCCGATTAGAGGTTAACAACACCTCTTCCTTACTTTTTTCGATTATTCAGTACAGTCCTTCTAAATACTTGTCCAGATTACCTTCACGGTGGGTTGTGTTGTGATTTTCGGATTTTACTCTACTCGAAAACACACAAAAAATGATGTTTTCGGTCCATTTCATCCCAAAATTTTAATCTGATCATCACCGAAAATTATAGGCGTTGTTCTTGACCATAACTGGAACTTCATGAAAAATTTCAAAGCCATCAGGGCGATATTTCTCCCTCTAATGTGGTAATGGGTTACTGAATAATATCTGAATACGTAAGCACCTGTAAATATTTGACTGTAACTCCCACATCTGAGTAGATACATCACTATATTTGGTATCAATTTAAAGGCCAACCACTCCTCTTGGATGTGCTATCAACTCCTGGGGTCTACATCCTCCAGGAGTAAATATATATGCCATAGAATACAAATTTTGTCATTTTTCACACAAAAGTCAGGGTCCATTTGACCCGCTAAATATTGACCGATCTTTATCAAAACATGCATGCTTATTCTCTGGCCCGATCCCCTTTTCCATGCAAAAATTCGCGGTGTTTGGGCCATAATTGCGGCCTCTGGAGCGACCAGAAAAACCGACAAAAATTTAGTATTTGGTCCATTTCATCCCCTAAATATTAACCGATCTTTTCCAAAAACAATAGGGGTCTTCATTGGCCAGAACCCATCCTACATGCAAAATTTCGTGAAGATTGGTCCATAACTGTGGCCTGTATCGTGTTTACAAATTATAATGGACAGACGGACGGACGGACGGACACACATGTCTAGATCGACTCAGCTAGTCGAGATATGACGATCGGTATACCTAAAGGTGGGTCTAGGACCAATATTTCGCGGCGTTACAAACATTTGGGGCTGCACAAAGCTATAATACCCTGACAACATAGTTGTGTAGGGTATAAAAATAGGAATGCTCACAATATTGCTGAGTTTATTTTCATAGAAGAGCTTAAGGACTTCTTTGCCATAGAAGAGCTGGAGACTGAGTTGATCTAGTCATGTGGGAAATGGAATGGGATTATTTATTATGAGTTGCTTCCATATGGTCAAACGCTAAATTCTGATCTCTACTATCAACAACTGGACCGTTTGAAGATATAAATTGACCAGGAACGGCCAACATCCACAGTCACTCGTCAGAAACTTTGGGAGCTTGGTTGGGAAGTTTAAATGCATCCGCCGTACAGTCCGGACTTGGCACCAAGCGATTATCATATTTATCTTCCATTGCAAAATTTCTTTAATGAAAGTCGGACGGGGCCTACTATATGATACACTTTACCACTTTGGAAATATTCAAGAAATACACCCTTACAGACCTTGAATTTTTGAAGGACCATTGACATGAAATTCGACTAAGTTAAATATGTGATCTGTGTCTATATGTGAACCGACTTAACCCAATGATCAATAACCGGGTATATTTGTATAAAGTATATATATATTCTTGATCAGTGTAAAATTATGCAGGTCCGTCTTTCTGTTGTAATTGTAATGTCCTTCAAATAGACAAAAATAATAACACAACCGTTGCGATCAAAGTCCAAAATGTAATATGTTTATTTTCTGTTTACAAAAGAGAATAGGGTTCAACAATCACTACTGTTACACTCATTAGTAGTGATTGAGTGATATTTAATAAACAACGAATGAGAGGGAATGGAAGAATGTAAGAGTACTAAACAGTAATATTACAGTAGGCTCTGCATACAAGTACTATATAGTAATATTACAGTAGGCTCTGCATACAATACAAAATACAGTATATACTTGATATATGCAATACTCTATATGCTCCTCCTAAAGCTGTTTCATACATATTAAAATTCAAATATTTAATTCAAAATAATTTTACAATATGGATATTTACATAAATTTTTTTTTTTTTTTTTTGAAATTATTTTATATATATATATATTTTTTAGTTTTTTTTAACGACTTTTCCTCCTGCTCGAGGTCTGAGATTTCTTGTGGTTTGTGAAGTATCTTCAGTTATTGATGGAGGTGTGACTATAGCATTGTTGTCGTTGTTGTTGGATGGAATCGTGATGTCGTTGGACAGCTGTTGTACAGAACTGCCTCGGATTTGGTCTAAATGACGTTTGATGTTGTTATTATTGTGACTTAATGTACACGAGTAAGATTGAGGTCCGAGTTGTTGTGTGATTGTAGCTTGTGTCCAACTGGGTTTATTGGGATTTCGGTAATCTCGAACCATAACCTTTTGACCTTCATGGAAAGTTGCATTGCGTTTTCCTTTATGATGTATTATGTTTTTCTCTTGCGAAAGCTTTAATTTTTCTTTTATGGTAGGAGGTTTAAGATTGCTGAATCGGGTCTTGAGCTCTCTCCCGAAAAATATTTTTGCCGGTGACTCACCAGTACTGCAGTGGATCATATTTCGATAGTCCATTAAGAATCGGCATAAAATCTGATCAATATTGGCGTCTCTGTTACCATCCAAATTTGCATAGATAGATTTTTTAAGCGTTTTGACAAAATTTTCGGCTTGCCCATTTGTGGATGGATGTCCGGGTGCAGTTAAACTGTGCTTAATTCCATTTAAGGATAAAAATGTCTGAAATTCAGATGATGTGAACTGTGACCCATTGTCACTAACTAGGGTATCCACTAATCCATACCTGCAAAATAGTTCTCTTAGTTTTCTTATTGTAAAAGAAGATGTTATGTCCTTTGTCTTAAAAACTTCGACAAATTTAGAATAAGAATCGATAACAACCAAAAAATGAAAGTTTTTAATTGGACCAGCAAAATCAACGTGAATACGTTTCCATACTGAACCACAGGGCTCCCATGGTATCAAAATTCCTTTCTCAGGACTAGGCTGTAATTTTTGACACGGTACACAGTTTTTTATGAGACTTTCTATATCTTTATCAATACCAGGCCACCATACATACGACCTAGCCAATGCTTTTGTTTTGACTATTCCTAAATGTGAGGAATGCAAAGCTTCCAAAATTTTGGATTTTAATTTTTGAGGAATAACTGTTCTGTATCCCCATAGAACGCAACCATATTCTACAGTTAATTCAATGTATTTTTCTCGAAATGTGGAAAAAATAGGATCTTTTAAATTTACAAGTGTACCATCCAAAATACTTGCTGCTACCTTCGATAAAATCGGGTCTCTTCGGGTTTCTCTGCAGATATCTTTGAAGTCCACTGGAAAATCTCTTTGTGATTCAATAAAATTTATATATGAACTTTCACTATGATTACTTTCAAAGTTTATATGAGGTAATCTGGAAATAGAATCAGCTTCATTTTTACATCCTTTTACATACTCAATGGTATAATTAAAACCAGAAAGGATCAAGGCCCAACGTTGCATCCTCGCTGACGCCATTATTGGCAAGCCTTTGTTACTTCCAAAAATTGTTAACAGTGGACGATGATCAGTCTTCAAAATAAATCTATTTCCAATCAAATATTGTTTAAGCTTTGTAACACAAAACACGATAGCAAGAGCTTCTTTTTCCAAAGTGCTATAATTTTTCTCACTCTTGGTTAAAGCTCGTGAAACAAATGAAATGGGTTTAGAAACATCAGAAAATTTATGTGATAGAACACCAGCAACAGCATTGTTCGACGCATCCGTTGTCAAAATCAAAGGCAATTTAGGGTTAAAATGCACCAGGACCTGATCGGACGTAACTTCACGTTTAATTCTGTCATAAGCCTTTTGACATTTATCAGACCAAACGAACGAAACATCCTTACTCAACAAATTATATAGCGGAGACATAATATCAGCAAAATCGTTGATGAATTTTGAATAATAATTCGCCATACCAACAAAAACTCGTACTTCGGATATATTTCTTGGAATAGGCGCAGACATAATGCTTGAAATTCTTTCATCATTCTTAGTCAATCCATTTCTGTTAATATTAAATCCTAAGTAGGAAATCTCGTTTTGAAAAAATTTTGACTTCTTCACGTTAAGTTTTAATCCCGAAGACTGTAGCTTCTCTAATACACGCCTTAACGTCGAAATATGTTCACTCAAATTCTTTCCAGTAACGGTTATGTCGTCCTGATAAACCACAACACACGGAATATCTCTTAACAAATTCTCAATAGTCTTTTGAAAAATTGCTGCCGCTGTTTTCACACCAAAGGGTAAACGTTTAACTTTTAAGGTTCCAATATGAGTACTCCACGCACACAAAAGTTGAGAATCGTCATCTAGAACAAGCTGATTATAAGCATTTGAAAGATCTAGTTTGGTGAAAACTTCACCACCTTCCAACGAAGCAAAAATTTCATCAATCCTAGGTAGAGGATACTTGAAATCAACCAAAAACTTGTTCAATGTGACCTTATAATCACCACAAATCCTCAAATCACCATTGGGTTTTAAAATAGGAACAAGGGGAGTACCCCAATCCGAATTATCTATGGGTTCCAAGACGTCTGAGGCAATTAATTGACGTAAATGTTTTTCAACTCGTTCTTTCCAAGCTAGTGGCAATGGCCTTGGTTTGCAAAATATTGGTACTGCGTCACTAACAACTTGTAGGGAAATTGTGCATCCACTAAACTTTCCCAATTTACCATCAAAAACTCCATTGAATTCATTTTTCAACTGATTAACAATTGTCATGTTCATATCAGAGACTTGAATGTTGTTAACTTGTAATAATTCAAAATTAAAAGCTCGTAAAAACGATCGACCAAGCAACGGAGGATTCTTCGTAACAACAACAACTACCACTACTGATTTGGTATTACCTTTATACGTTACACTTGCATCATATTCACCAGCCAACTTCAGCTTAACACCATTGTAATCTACATATGGCACTTTACACGATCTCAATTTTCTCTTAATTCCGTTCTCTTCCAAAAATGAAATCGGCAACAACGTACATGGTGCACCTGTATCACACACTGCCTTCAGTTCCACACCATCAACAACAACATCCAGAGAATACACATCACCATTTTCTTTCTCAGCCACACTAAAAATAGAATAATCGAAAACATTGTTATATTCATGAACATCACTCTCAACGTCATTAATTTCATTCGATACATAATTTACACTCTTTTTCCTACTATAGCAGACCGATGCCAAATGACCAATTTTTCCACACGAATGACATCTGCTCTCTTTATATTTGCAAGACTGAGAACTATGATTTCTCCAACCACAATGAGAACATGCATATTTCTTGCCACCGCCGCTCTTGCTGTCTCTGCTATTGTTGTCTCTGCTATTGTTGTTACGTTTGCTGCTGCTGCTACCACCATCTCTATTACCACTGCCAGTGCTGCCTCTGCCACCACCACCATAGTGATTTTTTGCATATTTCTGACCGTTAACCAAATTTACAGTGCATTGACTTTTCTCCTCTGCCTTTGCCATATGCTTCGTTTCCAAAATCATAGCCTTTCTTAATGCACTTTGTACTGTTAGGGTTTCATCTTCTTCACACAATCGTTCAAAGATGAAATTTGGCAAACCCATAACAAATTGATTAAGTACAAATGCATCCAAGCTGACACCAAACTTGCAATTGAGTGCTAATGTTTTTACACGAGCATACCATTCAGCAACCGACTCATTTTCAGCTTTGCTACACAAATGAAACTTCTTCCGCTCACTAAATACAATAGTTGGTGGGGTATATTGTGTATCTAAAATCTCACACAGCTTTTTATACGACACGGACACTGGAGACTCCGGACTGCATAAACTATGCAAAACTCTGTACGGCACAGCACCAATTGATTTCAACAAAATTGACTTTTTGGTGTTCTCGTCCGAACAGTTAATTTCAAAAAAATGAATGTCCAATCTCTCCTTCCAAACGTTCCACGACTCCACATTAGGGTTGAATTCCGGCACATTCGACGATTGAAGCACTGTTACTGGAGCAACATTAAAACTTTGATTTGCAGCTTCTTCCATCTTAGGAGGCATTTACTTGTTGTTTTTGTTGTGTTTTTTTTTATTATTATTATTAATTTCCACAAAATGGATTTATATGTATTTACATATATTTTTTTATGTGTATATACACTAACTTTTATTTTTTTATTTTTCCTCGTCGCCAATGTAATGTCTTTCAAGTAGACAAAAATAATAACACAACCGTTGCGATCAAAGTCCAAAATGTAATATCTTTATTTTCTGTTTACAAAAGAGAATAGGGTTCAACAATCACTACTGTTACACTCATTAGTAGTGATTGAGTGATATTTAATAAACAACGAATGAGAGGGAATGGAAGAATGTAAGAGTACTAAACAGTAATATTACAGTAGGCTCTGCATACAAGTACTATATAGTAATATTACAGTAGGCTCTGCATACAATACAAAATACAGTATATACTTGATATATGCAATACTCTATAGTAATCACTCTAGCATCTAAACGAATTGACATAGATCGCCAAAATTTTGCATAAAATTGTCTCTTGTATGCAGGTGCGAAGATGAGCTTTATCGGACAACGTACCAAATGTCTCCACTAAAAATTATTATTATAGGTCCACTATTTCGGGTAGCCCCCATATAACGGTTAACGCAGACCCATTTCGATACATAAATCTGAACTGATTACAATAAAAGTTAGCACACGTTAGTCTATCCTAACTTCGGTACGTTGTGCAAAATTTCATGTCAATCGGCCTAAATTTGACTCTTTGGTGCACTATTTGCTAAAAATCGGACGAATATACATATATATGGGAGCTATATCTAAATCTGAACCGATTTCAATAAAACTTGTACACACGTCGGTCTATCCTAACTTCAGCACGTTGTGCAAAATTTCGTGCCGATCCACTTAAATTTTACACTTTGCTTAAAATCAGATGATAATATATATGGAAGCTATATCTACATCTGAACCGATTTCAATTAAATTTGGCACACGTTAGTCAATCCTTACTTCAGTACGTTGTGCAAAATTTCGTGCCAATCGACCTAAATTTGAAACTTTGCTTAAAATCAGATGATAATATATACGGAAGCTATATCTAAATCTGAACCGATTTCAATAAAACTTGGCACACGTTAGTCTATCCTAACTTCAGTGCGTTGTGCAAAATGTCGTGCCAATCCGCTGAAATTTGATACTTTGGTGCACCATTTGCTAAAAATCGAACGAAAATATATATGGGAGCTATATCTAAATCTGAACCGATTTTTCCCAATTTCAATAGGGTTCGTCCCTGGGCCAAATAAATGATCTGTGCCAAATTTCATCTCATTCGGATAATAAATGCGACCTGCACTATGTTTACAATTTAATATCGACAGACGGACGGGGATGCATCAATCGATTCAGAAAGTGATTCTATGCATATTCTCCAAAGTAGCCATGGGTCTAACTCCATTCCTTTTGCCTGTTACAAACATATACACGAAGACATAACACCCTGTACCTGTAGTTTTGTGAAGGTTATAAAAATTTGTGTATAGGGAGGATTGTGAAAATCGACTACTAGAGTTTTTTGCAAATAGAGAGCGGGACTACTATGAGAGAGGCATTATGAAGTTACCTTTAAAATGGCAACAAATCATACAACAAAACGGTGCAATCGGACAGTCCGAAGCATGTTAAATAAAGTCCTAATGTTTTGGGGTTGTCTTTAAAAGTATCCTTTAATATGGTATGAAATTACATATATAAGACCAAACATGCATCTATTGACGAAAATGAGATGGAAAATAACTATTTCTAAAAATCTGTGTGGCCTTGAAACATTGTTGGGCAAAATAAAATTGATAGCAAGTGTATGCGAGCGTAACTGAAAATTCACCATTAAAAACGATTGACGTAAAGAGAAAGAAAGTGAAAATGTGTTTATCCATCGACCCTCAGTTACGGTAGCGTATATGGCCGAGCATGCCTGCCTTGAAACGTCAACGTTCGCCGCTAGAAAATATAGCCTTAAAAATCAAACATTGATTTGAAACAAAGTAGAACCTTTAGAAGATTTGAATTCCAGTCAGACTTATAGCAATGATAATTACCACGCTATGCATATGGATGCCGAATGTGCCCCATCAAATGCCAAAGCTACCACGGGTAGATTCACCTTCGACGAATTTGACTTCTTTGACAAAACTGTAAAAATATTTAACTAATACTAATTTATCATATGTTTTTGGTACTACTTAGAGTCTACCTACTTAGATTCGATTTTGTTGTGTTACTAAAATTGGGGAAGAAGAGTATTAAAATGCGGCATTCCAGTTATCTGAGTAGAGAACGCCAAATTCTATTGAAAATTTTGACCACAATTGGTCAATCAATTATTATAAGTAATAAATTTAAATAAATTGAACGTATAAATTTTGCAATTTTAAAAATAACAAACATTATTTCCAATAACAGCAAATCTTAAATAATAATTCAGAAAATTCAAATTATTCCCCTTATTTGCATATTATAATCTCTTAATATGCAAATACTAAAAGAGTTTAATCTTACGATCTATGCAATTTAATCTCCTAATTGCACGTCCCCATTGCTCTCTCACTGAGATGCAACTTTGAGTACTTCTTATTGTTTTCTTTTTTGGAGTTGATGTTAGTTTTCGTTAGTCATTGAAATCGTTCGCATTATTTTTCGTGGGCTCCATCTTTGAAGTGTTATTATTTACAATAATTAAGCACAAAACTACTAGTTAAATATATAAATCTTTTATTTAGTGTTTATTATGTTAAAATACATTATTTAAATATGTTAAAATGTGAAATAAATGCGATTTGCAAACAAATAAATTAGTGCTCGTCGGTCGTGTGTGAAAACAAAGTGGAGCAAAAACAAAACAGAATGTTTGAATTCCTCCCGTTGAGAGAGAGGGAGGGGGAGAGTGAATGACACAAAGAAGACAAAAGTGGTACAATCATAAAAGAAATGAATGCAAAAAAACAAATGCAAACAAAGAATTGTTAGCAATAAACAAGAAGAAGCAAATGAAAACGTAAGTGCATGTGACCTTAGTTTCGGCAAAATCTAATGGGAGTTAAAATCAAAACAACAACAAACATCAATCGTTTTACTATTACTATGGATAGTGTTGTGAATGTTTAAGGTGTGAGTGTTTGTTGCTATTGGAAAAAGAACGGAGTTACTCGCAAAACAAGAGGATAATAAATGAAAATGAAAAAATAGCGTTTGTTTACAATGGTGTATACATATTCGGTTCGGTTCGCGAGTGAAAAAATATTCCATGCTAGAGTTATTGAATTAATTTGTTTATGTATTCTGATTCCGTAAAGGATTTGAATTGGTTTACATATTTGTGGGCTAAATATTGTGAAAACAATATCGGTAAGTTTTGTTGTGCTGCATTTACAGAAGATTTTACTTATTCCATAAATAATTTTTGTAGTTGGTCTTTGAATATCAGAGAGGCAAGTCACTTTGGTATTTCAATTAAAACTAAAGTAAAATTTCCTTTAAATGAAAATAAAATGAATTTTGCAGAAATGATGAACGATGAACATAGAGGATTCTGATTGTGTATTGTTTTGTTGTTGTTTTTTGTGATTAAATTATTATTGATTAGAATAAAGTTCTAATCGATTAAGCAATGTCCGTCCTTCTGTCTGTTGATCTTACGGTAGAACTTGCAATATTTATTATAAAGCGTTGCATTTTTGTACATACATTTTTACTATTCCTAGGATGTTCGGTATTGGAAATCGGTCCACGTTTTGGGAATAGTCCATACATAACAATACAGAATATTTAGGTTGGTACTTTGAGTTCCCATTGGATGACAAATCTCCCTTTTAAAAAATGATCGAAAGTCCCGAAATGTATCTTAAATGTACAAATCATGGTGTAGGGTATAAAAATGCGAGGAATCATAGATCTAAGAAAAAAATCATAGATCGAATCAAAATTGTTCGTATAATAAGTACTTCAATATAAATGTTTGTTTGGTACGCTTAAGACAGTAGGACCATCAATGCTGATTAAGATGAAATCGTAAAATTTACAAGTGAAGACAAATCATTATACCCTCAGATTTATGGCTAATGATGCCCCATGTTTCTTTGGACCAACTCTGTTTCATAAACAAACCAGGAAGGCAAGTAGTAAAGTGGGGCTGGGCCTTCACAACTTTGGGTATATTCTACATATGTATTCTAACAATTTCAAATTGAATTGAACGAATTTAAATGTGCGATATTTATCTATAATTGAACCGACTAACATCAGTCTATACACATGCCTTTCTGCAACCTATGCTAAATTTCATTTCATTCAGATTTAGAGTCGTTTGGATACAATGGGACAAATTTATGCAAATCGATTTATAGTACAATTGATTCACGCTATTCGGTATGCAGCACTGTTCAAAATGTAATCTCAATCAGACACCCGTTCGAAATACACGTGGAAGCTATGTGTGCATCTGCACCAATTTAGTTCACAATTAACATAAAATCGGAAGAAATACATATGGAAGCTATATCTATGTGTGAACTGATTTTTACGAAACTTAGCACCAATAATTCTAGACTCAATTTATATGGACTTTGGTGCACTTGGTTACATTAAATCGGACGAAAATATATAAAACACACATCATACTAGATCTAAGTCAGTAGGCTATGCCAAATTTAAATCGGACGAAAATATATATAACACACATCATACTAGATCTAAGTCAGTAGGCTATGCCAAATTTCGTGCAAATCGAGAGATATATAGGGATTTTGGTACACCATTTACCTTAAATTGGTCAAACATATATATTTAAATCTGAACCGATTTTCAAGAAATTTTACACACATCATTCATGTTCCAATTCAGTACGCTATACCGAATTTCGTGCAAATCGAAAGATATATAGGGACTGTAGTGCACCATTTACATAAAATCGGGCGAAAATAAATATGAGAGCTATATCTAAATCTGAACCGATTTTCAAGAAAATT